AAAATTTACATGTGAACACGTATATATGGACATATATACACGTATAATTTCCGCACAACACCTAGTGAATGGCTCCAATGACCGAATATATATTTATTAGTTTAGAAACTACAGAGCCGGAATAGATTCTTTAATTGTTGGTTTTTCTTTTTCTTTTTTTTTTTTTTTTTGATTCCTCGTCTTTCGTTTTTCTTTTGTGTGTTTCTTATCTCCGCTTCCGTTAGTCTTCCGCATCGATGCGGGATGCATTCTCGCGCGAGTTCGACTCTCTCGCCAAACAACGGCGAGAAAAGCAAATACTTGCCGAATTTCTCGTCGGATGAGAGATCTTTGCTTTTCTTTTATTTCTTTTTTTTTGCGGAAGAGCATAGCTCTTAAGAAATTTTTCAAACCGTGTTTTAGCGACGAGCGTTCTCCCTCGAGACGCGCGATATAATGAAACGCTACTCTTGCAATTCTAAAAAGAAAAAAAAACAGAAGCAGATCGCGACACGCTTTACACGATGATGTAAATTAATTGCGTTGAAATTGCGCGACGTATGTCACTGAGACACACTCTGCGCGCGCGATATCGATCGTCTTTCGACGATGTTTGCAAGGAGACGTGGTTACAATGACGTTAACTCGTGTAATTGTTCGATTGTACTCGACCTAAATTGTATTCGACCGTTCGCGCGCGGCCCCTCTTCGCGCGTGCGCTGCCGGAGCGCAATTTAATTTATGGGCAAATGAGACTTGGAGTATTAAAGTGGAGTCTCCTCCTCCTCCTCCTCCTCCTCCTCTTCCTCCTTCTCCTCCTCCTCCTCTTCCTCCTCCTTGGTTTCACCTGGACGACTCCCCCAGTTCCGGTCGTCCGGATTCAAAGCTCGAGACGAAATCAATACGTAGATACATATATATATATATATATATCTCGCGCGCCGCATCTCGGCCCCATTTCTTCCCCATCGTCGTTTCCCCCATCCTCCTCTCCGCTTCCGGTAATATAAGTCTCCCAGCGGTAAACTGCGTCAAGGAAGGAAAAAAGAAACGGAAAGAGCTGATATTGACCGAACCGTCGAAAACCAGGAAAAATCGGATTTTTCCCGAGAAATCTTCAATCCCCATCGCGATCAACGAAAACATAACTCGCTCAATTCTTCTATAAGAAAATTGACATAACATGTGTTGTATAATATAAGAATATTTTTTTATATTATAATAATATGATAATATATATAAATATAGAATATTAATAATATACTGATATTGTTAATGCGAATTTATGCAAATTGGATAAATATTACGCTCGCGCAATATTCTCGCACAATTTTGCACGAAGCTCGTTCTTGAGAGAAAATTTTCGAGATGGGGTTCTTGTTTCTAATACAAACGAGATTCTCTTGAGACGCGCGAGTATTGAACCTGGTGGAAGATCGACGACATCGGTCGGTACCGCGTTTACGATCAACGTACAAGTGGTCAGGCGAGAAGAGACACAGACAAAGAAAACGAACACGAGCATTCTGTGGAAGGACGTTGTGACGCTCGTCGTTATGATCGCGGCGAGAAGCAGCGCTGCAGAACGGGCGGCATTATTCGCGCGCAGCGAATTCATCCGTCATTGTCCGACGATCTCCCTTTTGTAACGTTACACGAGAATGACTCTCTCTCTATCTCGCGGGACTTTGAAATACCGGTGCGCGGGAGAATCGTTGCGATACACGTGTGCCGATATACAGGTATGCATATTTCGGGAAGAGCTAGTTCGGGACGAGCTCCAGAAAATATTCGTGCCAGCTGTGCAAATACGGTATTGTGCAGCGCAACGTTCCTCCGCGAATGGAAAAAAAAAAAAAAAACAATTGTTGAAATAGAGAGAAGATTAGTTACAATACGGACAGCAAGAGAAATTTGCTAAACGATGAAATAAAAATTCAATAATAAAAGTCAATATCCGATCAAACGTTTTACATTATTCATATAACAGCGAATTTTTAGTTTTCCATGTACATACATACGTGCGCGCTCGGTTCATATGTTCGCCGGAAGGCACGCGCGCCAGCTTTAAAGCGATCGCAATCTCGCGAAAATTCCGAAATTCGTTCATTAATCATTTCACGAGCGAGCAGACTGTTCTTTGCCTCGTCTCGATACATTGCGCGACGGGTTTTCTCGGGAGAACGAGGGGGGAGGGGGGGGGGCACCTCGGAAAAGAGCGGGTGCGCGCTGAATGCCCGGCGGACGACGATGGAAAATTGCGTGCGGGCGCGCGATTCGACGAGACACGTCTGCGAAATAGCAGCCAGTCACGCCTCGTCGCCAAAGGATATGCGTATGTACACACACACACACACACACTATCGCGGAGAGTGAATAAACCTGAAGGGGTCCGCTACAACGAGAGTCACTCTTTCTCTCTTCGTGTGTGTGTGTTTGTATACTCGCGAAATTACATGCGCAAACTCGCGAGCCTCGCGCACCCACCTTTCGATCCATCCGAATTTCGTTAGATCGTCGCCGAGTCTCTGTACAATTCGCTAAAAAAATATTTTCCTACAAATAATATTTCGAAGTTAAATAGTTAAAAAAATGTAAAACAGAAGAAAATAAACTAGTTGCAAATAATAATTATTTAGTTAGAATTTTTTTTACCGCGAGTCTGTTCCGGAAAAGATTTTCACATTAGAAATCGTTACAAATTGTTATTCTTAAAAACAAAAGAATCTCAATATTGTTTTTATATGAATTATAAGATCTTTCTATAAATTATGCATAATGATTGATTTTTTTCAACGTCGTTTCTTTTTACTTCGTTGACAATGTGAAAGCTAAAATTTTGTGAGCGATTGTACCGAGAGGGGAGGACTGATATGGAAATCGCGACAATCGATAATCACCGGATGAATAGAGAGAAAGGGAACTGACGAACGCGCGCGACGACGATGAGATAGTTTGACCCTAGCGATGAGACGGATCCTAGATTACAACTCGTTGTCGCGCTTTAATGTAGCGAAGTTGCGTGCAACAAAGAGGTGAGTTAAAATGGGCAAACACACACACACACCTCTTGATCCGCTGCTTGAAAAATATAATACGGGAAAAAAGGCACGCAATATCATCAAAATTCATGAAAAATACAATAAAAGAGTTTACATATATAATATATAAAGAAAATATTACCAAGTCCCCTTCTTGGCCGGGAAGGCTGATGTGAATAAATAAATAAAAAACATAAAGAAAATATTGTGTCATCTTATTTTAAAATGTGTATATTGTTTTTTGTATTACAAATTGTGTGTCGTTTCTATAAAATAAATAAGTCAGCGCATTAATATGCGACTGTTACATTAAAATCTGTGAAAAGCGTTCACTGAAAAGTGAAGTTTTTCTTATTAAATTAACGTTTCTTGTGTTTCCGATTGTTGTTCACTGACAAATAATTGTTGACAAGATTACATACAATAGACATATTTGTATTTATTACGGCACATATATAAGGTACACGATGCATTTTCATACTAATGACAAATGCAACTAAACACGTAGACATTTTATATATAAATTATATATTAAAAATATAAAGAGCAATATGTGAAAATGATCATGAGATACGTACTGCAGAATATTCTTACACATGTATGTGTATAACACATTAGCGAGAACTGTACAATCAGAAAAAGATTTATTCTTTTGATTATCACGATGTGATCAGTGTGCGGTTGTGCGGAGACGAATACAAATTTATAATCGTCAATATCGGTGAAATTTGCGTGAATCCCCTGAGAACTTCGAAGACTCTCTACCGTTTTCCCGCTCGAAAACGATGACAACCTCAGAGTACGTGATTGTTGCGTTGTCATTCGATCATCTTGAAGAGCGCGCAGGAGAATAACATTCCGAAGAACTGCGATAATTAAAATCAATGTTGCGTGTTACACATATATAATTATGTTATAAATTATTACTTAAGTTATTATATTATTGGAGATTATTTTGTTATATTATTCTATATATTTATTTTTTATATCAATTTCAAACACAGATAGAAAAAAGAATATGTTTTCAGGTTTTCACACAAATTCTGGTTTTTGGTTGAGCAACCACGGCTGCGTTGCGCAAAGTGGATACGCGAGCGAGATATTGTTTCCTTATCGCGTGCTGTATGCGCGCGATGGTTGCATTGACCTATTCCAAATTAAAATGTAAATAGACAACTTCAACAATTGTCTCACAGGTTTCCGCAGTGACGTTTCTGCACACTTTGCGGAACGCGGCTCGTGTTCGATCACACCTAAGAAAAAACCAATATTATAAATAAATTCAATAAAACATTGATATGCAATCGTGAGATACTTTTCCAATCTCGATTTTACAGCTTAGGACTTACAGCTTCTTCTAACAGAAAAGATCTGTAAAAAAGAAAACAACTGCAAACCACATCCTTACCATGAGGCATGCGACTGCGATACCGGCGCCGCCCATAACGGCTGCGTGTTGTTGCAAGTAAATGCGCGTTCCGTCGATGCAACCCTCCATGTAGGCGTTCGAAGGATTCACCGTGTCCGAGCCGGCGTTGCAGCGGAATCGCTGTGGAACACAGATCGTCGAGAGACGTATCGTAAAAGAGACGCAATTCCTCGAGAAAGCCGATCAACGGTGGAGTGAAAGCGTGAGAGGAGAGAGAGAGACAAGAGAGAGAGAGAGAGAGAGAGAGAGAGAAAGAGGAAACTAAAGTAAAGGACTCGGCCGATTAAGTAATTGCGGTCCAAATTGGCGGTCTTCTCTACCGAGGGAAATCGCGGCGGGCGCGCTCGCAAAATCGCGAGTAATTATATCCGCGCTGATTCGCAACCTCCACCACCACTCATGAAATTTCGAAATTTCCGTCCCGACGCGGAAAATTCCTTCCTTCTTCGCGAAAGCCGAGAATTTCATCTCTTGACATTAACTTTTTTTTTTTTCATGTACATACGTGAGGCTCGAGGGTCATTAAGAGAAGAAGAGACATCGTGACTCTCCGTTTATGCACGTGAACCGCACGGCGCATTATGAGATGCACGCACGTCGCAAATTACCGTCATTACTTACAAGCGTGGCGGTCGCGCATTCGGCTGATTATTTTGCGTCGGACGCGACCGCTCGGAAGTTAATTAATTTTTTTCTTTTTTTTTTTTTTTTTTTTTTACCTGACCGGGTTGAATCTCGCGGCAGCAGCTCTCTGGTACGTTGAGACCGACATTTCCCCAATCCCTCCAGCTGTTGACGCCGCAGCAGTGGAGCTGAATTCACGCGAAAGTCGAGGTTAGCAGATGTAAAAAAAAAAAAAAAAACAAAAAAAAACACGAGAAAACAAATTTCCCCAAAGTCCTCGGAAATTACTTACTGTCGATTGCGTGACGTCCCAGGCGTCCCGAATGGATTTGCGGTGATCGTAGAGCCGGATCGAACTCTTCATCTCGCGGTCGACTGTGCTCAGCAATTTCTCGCGGAAAACGTATCCCAGAACGCCGCCGATCAGCATAGTTACGAAGAGCAGAAACACGATTATGAAGTACTGTTAAAAAAAAAAAAAAAGGAGTCGTCGTCGATGAGCTCATCGCCAATTTATAAAATTCGATTATATCAATAAATTACATTAACGAATTATATGTGTATCAATTATTAATTTTGTGTGTATTTAGAAACTTCCTTCGAATGATTGACGTCTTTCAAATTAATTGATTTTTAACAACGAATGTAATTTTCAGTTGGAAAAAAACTGATTGAGATATTGATTTTTCTGAAACAAAACAAGCGGGGGCTGTTGATGGTCACTCACCGTCAAGAGCATACACTTGACTTCTCGCGAAGCACCGATGCATCCAAAGAAGGCGATAAACGCCACGATAATTCCGCCGACCAGCAATACGTAAATCGCACCGGTTAACAGATCATTTCCGACGAGCTCGCCTATGCCCGGTACTTTGTCAACCAGGGCCCAGATGCTCAATCCCGTTACGATAATCCCGCCGATCTGCAAGAAAATTTATTGATTAAATTGCAATATTCTGTTTATTCAGTCACACGAATTATAATTAACGAGAAGGGACTTACGAAAATGACGAAGTTCGTGAAAAACAAGGAATATTTCATAAATCGACCGCAGCCATCCATCTCCGTGCCGTATCCCATCCTCCTCTTTTTCTAAATCTGTCAACAGTTTGATAAACAAAACGCTAATTGTGTTAACGATGTGCACAGAGTGCAAAAAAAAAATCTGAGAAACCGCGATGTTTCGCGAGCGCTCTTCAATCTCCGTTATCTCACACGTTTTATTCTATTTTCATATTACACATCTTCACGTAATAACAGTAAAGTGGCTCGAAGGTCGCGACAATCCCCGCAAATGTAATTAGCCGAATTTTTATGACAGTCACGTACATCTCTTTAATTACGTTATACTTCTCGATGACATCAGTAGCATTTGGCCTAGTTTGAAGTACCTTGGCCGTGTCTCCGTCGTCACAGCCCTGACCATATCCGTCGGACTTTCTAAATTTCATGGGATTTCACGAACTACGGCCGGTAACGCGTACAAAAAGAAAAAAAAAGTTGAAAATTTATCGAATTACGCGCGACCGCAGTTAGTTCGTTAGAATTTAATTTTTTTTGAAGTTACGTTCTCGGTCGTTGATTTTAATTTTTGCTCGAATGAACTTTTGTACTTGCATTTTAATTTATTACACGCATCCCATAAAAAAAATGTTAAAAGTTTAATTTCAGAAGTGATTCTCGCAATTGATCGTGTTAATTCCATTTAATTGCACGCGCGAAATTCCGTCTCGATTTTAATTTATTATCGCGTTCCGATTTAACTTAATTAAATTTCTGTTTCGCGTACGACACGTACATCGTATATTCATTAGTCTCCTCTTTCCCCGCCTTAACGACTATTTACAAGAGCCGAGAGAGAGAAAGAGAGAGAGAAAGAGAAAAAAAACGGGTCTGTTTGTGACGTTCACTCACGTGAATTTTCACAGGGTCAGGAAGGAAAACACTCGGCGACTTCCTGTTTTTGAGAAATATCGTGCGCACGCGGCGCAATTACACACTCGCTATTGTTTACTCGAGTCGTAAAACAATATTCTCCGCGGCATAATACGAACAATTGTTTCATCAATATTTACCACTGCCGCATCCGTATCGCGAAAATCATCGCAACCGGAAGCGCTGACTTTTCCGCGCGCGATCGTCTATTTTCGAAGAGAAACTCGCTCACCTGTTCGCACACGCGTCGTCCTTTGAGAAATGACGCGCTCCCGCGGAAAATCGCCGCGCGAACCGAAAACGCGCGCGTGTTGATCGCTATCGCCGCTTTGCACAATAAAAAAAAACGCACGTACCGCGCCTACGTGTAAGATTGCGTGTTTGGTAACGCAGACGGGTCTCGATCGTGCATACAACACGAGAGAGAGAGAGAGAGAGGGAAAGCGATTTCGCATTTAAATGATTCACGCGCGAGCGATATGTGACGAGCGACAAAAATGACATTACGTTGCACATTACGTCGTCTCGCAATCGCACAAATAAAACCACGAGCTTCCGCTCTCGGCCTCGTCTTACGAACGAGAGATTATATTCGTTTTATACGCGATTCGCATCATCCGATTCGCTCTCCGTTCCGCGAACCGGAATGACATCATGAGGGAACAATCTGTTCTCTATGCAATGCAGACCTCGGTCTGGAAAAAGTGCCCGAAGGAAAATTTCTATCTAACAAGTTCGAACGCGCGTCCCGAAGTCACGAATCGAAGCTTCTTAAAGCCGCGTATTTTTCACAGAATCGAGAGAATACGATCAGTCAAATTCACGGTGTAAAGATGAACTCACACAGCCCGATCTTTAAAATTGTCGCAAGTTTGTTTCTCGAGATGCTGCTCCGGTCGTTTTATTATGGCTACAGAACGTCCGAAGAAACGGAGAACTAAAAAACTCAGCACAATAATTATGTAAAGATGATTGTATGTAGCTTCAAGAATTTTCAAAGAACAAATGAATTTTGGCTATTGAAGCAATAACACTGTTGTTGGAGTGTATATATTTAAATCCGTTTATTAACAATTTGATAGCATAAACGCTTTCGACCTTGTATTAGGTCCTTTTCAAATGCATTTCTACAATGAATTAACGTATAATACAATTAATGAAATTTAAAAAGTAATTAAAAATCGCAGAATAAATATAATATATACAAATTTGTATATTATATTTATTCTGCGATTTTTAATTCCTTTTTAAATTTCATTAATTGTATTATACGTTAATTCATTGTAGAAATGCATTTGAAAAGGACCTAATACAAGGTCGAAAGCGTTTATGCTATCAAATTGNTAATAAACGGATTTAAATATANANATTTTAATATACAAATTTGTATATTATATTTATTCTGCGATTTTTAATTACTTTTTAAATTTCATTAATTGTATTATACGTTAATTCATTGTAGAAATGCATTTGAANAGGACCTAATACAAGGTCGAAAGCGTTTATGCTATCAAATTGTTAATAAACGGATTTAAATATATACACTCCAACAACAGTGTTATTGCTTCAATAGCCAAAATTCATTTGTTCAACACAATAATTCGATCGTGTCAAATAATTAAATTCGACTGCGAACACCGGTTATTACTTCCGAAGCTCGCATTCAAAATTGCACGTTGTTAGAAATCACTTCTATTATCTGAAAAAAAAAAAAAAAAAAAATTACCGTGCTAGCGTATGATTCGCGCTCGTAGATAAATCACTCGATCTCGGTAACACGCGATGCAATCTCGTGAATAATAACTTTCTGACATCATCACTTAAAAACGCGTCGCAGTTGGCCGGCAAATAGACGTGTATGTTCGCTTCTATTCGCTGAATCGTTCTTTCTGGGGCGATGAAAAGGTTATCACAACCACATTCATTTGCTCATTAAAACACGTTCGAAACAGTCTTGGAAAAAAAGACACAAAAAGAGAGCGAAAATTTAATTTTTCCGGAAATTTTTATTGTCGGTAAGATCTTCGCGCGCACACCCGACGACTTTCAAGTGGCGAACACGTGGCCGCGAGAAATCGGCATCCGCGCGACGCACGTCGGCGAACAATCGCGTAATTTACCTCCGCGAACGAGTAGGCGAAACGCGTCTCCTTGTGTGTGTGTGTATGTGCGCGTGTGCGCGCGCGCGTGTATTTAAAAAATAAACGCGCGCACACCTGCGCGGACGAGCTCGCTTGCGAAATAATCGCGCGCGGATTGCGCAAACACACATGTACACTCGCTCGAAAGAAAGATCGAGAGTAAAAACGTCGAGAGAGTAGGAAGAGACGCGCGGCCCTTCGACGAGAATCACTCACGAGGTCATCGGGTTTTTGTACTGCCTATCTTTTTAACTCTGTCGCTTTTGTATAGCTCCGAGCTTTCTCTCTCGCTCGAAACCGAAGCCGCGTTTTCGTGATCGAGACACGTTCAGCGACTTTTGCGAATCACATATTCGTTACGTACGCGGACGTCTCCAGATCCTGAGATTCGGTGTTTTTACAAAGTTTACAAGGTTTCGAGTTTTTCCAGCGGAAGAGAAACGCGCGATGAGACACATCGGCCGCAATCTTTCTGAAATCTATGCCTATATTCATTTCCTTCGACCTGAATAAGCGACCCCGGCCGAAGTAATAAACTAGTAAACAAGAATCTTGTTGTTTTTTTCCCTTCCGTCCGAATGCTTCCTTCGATAACTGTGTTTCGATATCTACTTACTGTCAGGAAATAAAGTCTATAATCACGCGTGACGTGAAGTACAGAATATTTTTGAATATTGGAATGCAGCTGACAAGACCTAATCTTATATTTACGCTCAAATTTTTGTTCAAAAAAATTTTTTAACTTTCCTCGATAGAATATCTCGAGGGATCGAACACAGTAAAAAATCGTGCGTCAAAATGTAGAACTTTTCTTGTGTTACGACGTTTTGATTATTACTTCAATGTAAAATTAACATAATACTGATATGTTATTATTTTTTTAATCTTTTCACGTGTTAAATTTATGTTAACTTCACAAATTAACATTTTT